GACCTCTCTAGAGATCTGCAGAACATCGCTCCGTCCCATCTACTACTAAACATTTTGTTTTAGATGCAGCACCATTGCCCCCTGGTGGTCATCATACAAACTGCCTGGACCTCTCTGGGCTTCTCATTCTCATGTTTGTTGGTGTTTTTCGGTCTCTCATATTTCGGGGATTTCTCGGATTCATATTACCCCAAAAATGATGATTCTGTTCTGGTAATGGAGGTGGGGGGCAGATACCAGTAACTGTATTCAAATGTCCTCGTGCCCAATCTGCTGGCAGTCTCCTGTACCATGTCTGCAGTCTCTGACCATCTCCTGTACCCTGTCTGCAGTCTCTGACCATCTCCTGTACCCTGTCTGCAGTCTCTGACCATCTCCAGTACTATGTCTGCAGTCTCTGACCATCTCCTGTACCACATCTGCAGTCTCTGACCATCTCCTATAGGATGTCTGTGGTCTCTTACTGTCTTCTGTAGTATGTCTACAGTCTCCGACAGGAAACATGCTGCGAGGGATGGTCAGAGACCACAGACATCCTATAGGATGCATTTCCAAGCATTGAGCCATTCTACAGGAAGTGATACATGTCAATATCAAGCCAATTCCAGGCCATTTTTTACTTCAGCTTGCTGACAACAGCTCTTCCCTTTTCCTGTACGGGTGTTACAAGGGCAGGAAGTGATGGGAAATCTCCCCAATGGGGTCACAGACAGACATATAAAAGGTGCCAGAAATTTTAAGTCCATTCAAAGCTAAAAAAAAATGCCCGGAACTTATGCTTTGAGTAAAAAAATGATTATACTTCAGGAATTTATTACATATAGTATCATCATTATTAACCTAATTTCATAATAATAATACTAATAAAATATTATAAATATTATTATTTTCCATGACACAAAACAGTGATTTGGCTATATGCTGACCCTAGCACATACCAATATTTTAATATTATTGACAATAATAACAATGTGTTGCCATGGTTCCTTTCCCTGAATTTCTCACCCATTGGGTGAATTGTTAGCATTTTTTGGTTGTTCTGTTACCAATTGCCAGGCTGCCCACTTCCAAGATGGCGACAGCGCCATGTTATCGGCGGTCGGTGAAGCGCTTTCCCAGAAAGCAGCGCGACACCGCCCCCAGTAAAGATGGCCGCTGGTCCTTCATTGTTTCCAAAAGGGAAGTTGGAAGAAAGCTACGGCGAGCCGAGAGGGACAATTCCCTCACTAGCTCCGCCTCTTCCAGCGGCTCCACCCCGGCCCGGTCCCCGGATGTTCCCGTCTATAGAGAAGCTGACGGATCCATGATGGCGGCTTCGGCCTGAGAGCTGAGTGGGGTGTGGAGCCTGACCGTGGGAGAAAGAGAGAGATACCCCTAGGGGGTAAGAGACAAATACCCCTCCCTGACCCAGGCCTGCAGCCTTCTTCACACCCAGACATCCCTGTTGTCACTCCCCTTTTTCTCCAGATACTTTTTTCCTTACCTAACCCCCATCCGCAGAACATGCCCTATATACCCTCGTCCCCCCATACCCTCTGCCATAATTGCCCCTCCCTAAACACACTGTTCCACAACTACCTCCTCTCTAGATACCCCCTACTATAACTGCCTACCACTTCCTGGATGCTTCCTTCCACAACTGGCCCCGCCCCTTAATATAGACATTGCTTTCATTGCTCCTCCTTCTTCCATAGATGCCCCGCCTCCACCATAGATGTCACTCCCCTCCATTGATACTGTGCCGCTATTACTGCCCCTTTCCTCCTTTAGATACCCATAACTTTCCATCTATTGATCCCCCCCGGCCATAACTGTCTTTCCCCTGCATAGATACCCCCCGCCATGACTGTCCATCCTCTTCTTACCATACCCCTGTTGGCTATGAATGTACCGGTCTCTGCCACCCATAAGTTGCCCCTTCTCCTCTGCAATGTCTGTATTGCCCCGGCTCACCTTTGCGCTTGCAGTGCGGTTCCTTTTTTTGTGCACGTCAGATGCAGCTCACTGTATGACCTCTGCAGTATCTGTCGTGGTGATGCGTCTGGTGGCACCTGCGGAATGTCCTTTGTATGGCACTGATGAAAATGGCGTCAGGATGAGGGAGAGAAATGAGACATTGAATCGGCACTGACCGCAGACCACCTAAGGGGAAGACCAAGAAGCCATTTTTATGTCGTGATCGTCCTGTGGCTTCACAACTTAGTGAATCACTAACCTGGAGCAGGTGTGCCAATTGGGTCTTCTGGCTTCACTGGCCGCATGCTTGTCCTTGGGGTTAACTAGGTGTTGAAGCAGAAGGATGATCATGACTGGCAAGCAGTTAGGAGAGCTAGATGTGGCAGCTTCTGTGTCTCTATAGTGGCAGATTCCACCAGCCAAAGAACTGTCATCTTGTTATCACATCTATGTTCATGTTGGAGACATTTCCCCTCACTTCCTGTGTGGTCACCAGGACAGGAAGTAAGGCAAAATATTTCCAACAAAGAATCCCTGACCAGAGATAGGCAGTATTAGGCCTTCATACCAGTGTGGGCACTTCATGTCATTTTTTCAGTGGTACCCAGTGGACCATCACCTGCCATATGCATAGGTTTGGATATCGGCCCCTGCTCCCTACAAATACAATGTCATTGCCATAGGCTTTAGTGACAGCTTAGGAGACAGATCCTGGTCTGCCCGTCTGTGTCCTCAGCCCAACAAACCGTGTTATTAACATTTAGGTGCCAGCCCTCATCCAAGCATAGGCCCACCTGCAGACATCATGTACGAACCCCTAGGTTTGTGAAGGTGCAGGAATTGGGGATGATCTGAGGGGTGAAGGTGCAGGAATTGGGGATGATCTGAGGGGGGAAGGTGCAGGAATTGGGGATGATCTGAGGGGGGAAGGTGCAGGAATTGGGGATGATCTGAGGGGGGAAGGTGCAGGAATTGGGGATGATCTGAGGGGGGAAGGTGCAGGAATTGGGGATGATCTGAGGGGGGAAGGTGCAGGAATTGGGGATGATCTGAGGGGGGAAGGTGCAGGAATTGGGGATGATCTGAGGGGGGAAGGTGCAGGAATTGGGGATGATCTGAGGGGGGAAGGTGCAGGAATTGGGGATGATCTGAGGGGGGAAGGTGCAGGAATTGGGGATGATCTGAGGGGGGAAGGTGCAGGAATTGGGGATGATCTGAGGGGGGAAGGTGCAGGAATTGGGGATGATCTGAGGGGGGAAGGTGCAGGAATTGGGGATGATCTGAGGGGGGAAGGTGCAGGAATTGGGGATGATCTGAGGGGGGAAGGTGCAGGAATTGGGGATGATCTGAGGGGGGAAGGTGCAGGAATTGGGGATGATCTGAGGGGGGAAGGTGCAGGAATTGGGGATGATCTGAGGGGGGAAGGTGCAGGAATTGGGGATGATCTGAGGGGGGAAGGTGCAGGAATTGGGGATGATCTGAGGGGGGAAGGTGCAGGAATTGGGGATGATCTGAGGGGGGAAGGTGCAGGAATTGGGGATGATCTGAGGGGGGAAGGTGCAGGAATTGGGGATGATCTGAGGGGGGAAGGTGCAGGAATTGGGGATGATCTGAGGGGGGAAGGTGCAGGAATTGGGGATGATCTGAGGGGGGAAGGTGCAGGAATTGGGGATGATCTGAGGGGGGAAGGTGCAGGAATTGGGGATGATCTGAGGGGGGAAGGTGCAGGAATTGGGGATGATCTGAGGGGGGAAGGTGCAGGAATTGGGGATGATCTGAGGGGGGAAGGTGCAGGAATTGGGGATGATCTGAGGGGGGAAGGTGCAGGAATTGGGGATGATCTGAGGGGGGAAGGTGCAGGAATTGGGGATGATCTGAGGGGGGAAGGTGCAGGAATTGGGGATGATCTGAGGGGGGAAGGTGCAGGAATTGGGGATGATCTGAGGGGGGAAGGTGCAGGAATTGGGGATGATCTGAGGGGGGAAGGTGCAGGAATTGGGGATGATCTGAGGGGGGAAGGTGCAGGAATTGGGGATGATCTGAGGGGGGAAGGTGCAGGAATTGGGGATGATCTGAGGGGGGAAGGTGCAGGAATTGGGGATGATCTGAGGGGGGAAGGTGCAGGAATTGGGGATGATCTGAGGGGGGAAGGTGCAGGAATTGGGGATGATCTGAGGGGGGAAGGTGCAGGAATTGGGGATGATCTGAGGGGGGAAGGTGCAGGAATTGGGGATGATCTGAGGGGGGAAGGTGCAGGAATTGGGGATGATCTGAGGGGGGAAGGTGCAGGAATTGGGGATGATCTGAGGGGGGAAGGTGCAGGAATTGGGGATGATCTGAGGGGGGAAGGTGCAGGAATTGGGGATGATCTGAGGGGGGAAGGTGCAGGAATTGGGGATGATCTGAGGGGGGAAGGTGCAGGAATTGGGGATGATCTGAGGGGGGAAGGTGCAGGAATTGGGGATGATCTGAGGGGGGAAGGTGCAGGAATTGGGGATGATCTGAGGGGGGAAGGTGCAGGAATTGGGGATGATCTGAGGGGGGAAGGTGCAGGAATTGGGGATGATCTGAGGGGGGAAGGTGCAGGAATTGGGGATGATCTGAGGGGGGAAGGTGCAGGAATTGGGGATGATCTGAGGGGGGAAGGTGCAGGAATTGGGGATGATCTGAGGGGGGAAGGTGCAGGAATTGGGGATGATCTGAGGGGGGAAGGTGCAGGAATTGGGGATGATCTGAGGGGGGAAGGTGCAGGAATTGGGGATGATCTGAGGGGGGAAGGTGCAGGAATTGGGGATGATCTGAGGGGGGAAGGTGCAGGAATTGGGGATGATCTGAGGGGGGAAGGTGCAGGAATTGGGGATGATCTGAGGGGGGAAGGTGCAGGAATTGGGGATGATCTGAGGGGGGAAGGTGCAGGAATTGGGGATGATCTGAGGGGGGAAGGTGCAGGAATTGGGGATGATCTGAGGGGGGAAGGTGCAGGAATTGGGGATGATCTGAGGGGGGAAGGTGCAGGAATTGGGGATGATCTGAGGGGGGAAGGTGCAGGAATTGGGGATGATCTGAGGGGGGAAGGTGCAGGAATTGGGGATGATCTGAGGGGGGAAGGTGCAGGAATTGGGGATGATCTGAGGGGGGAAGGTGCAGGAATTGGGGATGATCTGAGGGGGGAAGGTGCAGGAATTGGGGATGATCTGAGGGGGGAAGGTGCAGGAATTGGGGATGATCTGAGGGGGGAAGGTGCAGGAATTGGGGATGATCTGAGGGGGGAAGGTGCAGGAATTGGGGATGATCTGAGGGGGGAAGGTGCAGGAATTGGGGATGATCTGAGGGGGGAAGGTGCAGGAATTGGGGATGATCTGAGGGGGGAAGGTGCAGGAATTGGGGATGATCTGAGGGGGGAAGGTGCAGGAATTGGGGATGATCTGAGGGGGGAAGGTGCAGGAATTGGGGATGATCTGAGGGGGGAAGGTGCAGGAATTGGGGATGATCTGAGGGGGGAAGGTGCAGGAATTGGGGATGATCTGAGGGGGGAAGGTGCAGGAATTGGGGATGATCTGAGGGGGGAAGGTGCAGGAATTGGGGATGATCTGAGGGGGGAAGGTGCAGGAATTGGGGATGATCTGAGGGGGGAAGGTGCAGGAATTGGGGATGATCTGAGGGGGGAAGGTGCAGGAATTGGGGATGATCTGAGGGGGGAAGGTGCAGGAATTGGGGATGATCTGAGGGGGGAAGGTGCAGGAATTGGGGATGATCTGAGGGGGGAAGGTGCAGGAATTGGGGATGATCTGAGGGGGGAAGGTGCAGGAATTGGGGATGATCTGAGGGGGGAAGGTGCAGGAATTGGGGATGATCTGAGGGGGGAAGGTGCAGGAATTGGGGATGATCTGAGGGGGGAAGGTGCAGGAATTGGGGATGATCTGAGGGGGGAAGGTGCAGGAATTGGGGATGATCTGAGGGGGGAAGGTGCAGGAATTGGGGATGATCTGAGGGGGGAAGGTGCAGGAATTGGGGATGATCTGAGGGGGGAAGGTGCAGGAATTGGGGATGATCTGAGGGGGGAAGGTGCAGGAATTGGGGATGATCTGAGGGGGGAAGGTGCAGGAATTGGGGATGATCTGAGGGGGGAAGGTGCAGGAATTGGGGATGATCTGAGGGGGGAAGGTGCAGGAATTGGGGATGATCTGAGGGGGGAAGGTGCAGGAATTGGGGATGATCTGAGGGGGGAAGGTGCAGGAATTGGGGATGATCTGAGGGGGGAAGGTGCAGGAATTGGGGATGATCTGAGGGGGGAAGGTGCAGGAATTGGGGATGATCTGAGGGGGGAAGGTGCAGGAATTGGGGATGATCTGAGGGGGGAAGGTGCAGGAATTGGGGATGATCTGAGGGGGGAAGGTGCAGGAATTGGGGATGATCTGAGGGGGGAAGGTGCAGGAATTGGGGATGATCTGAGGGGGGAAGGTGCAGGAATTGGGGATGATCTGAGGGGGGAAGGTGCAGGAATTGGGGATGATCTGAGGGGTGAAGGTGCAGGAATTGGGGTGATCTGAGGGTTGAAGGTGCAGGAATTGGGGTGAAGGTGCAGGAAATGGGGATGATGTGAAGTCTCTGCAGTATAGAGGGACGTACAGATGGATGCGTTGTGTAGCAGTGAATGTTTCTGCCCCCCCTTGTGCGTCCTCCCTGACCTGCGGTGACAGTCTGAAAGCTTGCGTCCTCTGGGAGTGCTGTGAACGCAAGGCAGGCGTGGGAATAAAGTGATTTCTTGGCTGGGACCCGCATGACGGATGGACGCGCGGGGGCGATCTGTGTCTCCTGGGGGGACGAATGACCTCATAGATGTATCATACATGTAGATGGTCTGTACCGCCATTTGTGCCATGCTAGAACAGCGGCCCTTGCCAAACACTACAGTTGATTGGTCTGGTTCACATGTCGGCCGTCGTTGGGTTGGCGCTCTCCTGTAACACACGACTCTTCTTCCCCCTGCAGAGACAAGTCGCCACATTGCGGTGTCACGTGGCGGCGGCGCAGAGGAAGAGACCATCCGGCCCCCAACGCCCAGCGATGGCGCACCAGAAGCGGAGCCGGGACCAGGCCTGGCCGGAGGAGGCGGGCGACAAGGAGCACGGCCTGTACAGCTTGCACCGGATGTTCGACATTGTGGGGACGCACCTGACCCACCGGGACGTGCGGGTCCTCTCCTTCCTCTTTGTGGACGTTATAGACGATTACGAGCGCGGCATGATCCGCACGGGGAGGGACTTTCTGCTGGCCCTGGAGAGGCAGGGCCGCTGTGACGAGACAAACTTTCGCCAAGTCCTCCAGCTGTTACGGATTATCACGCGGCACGACCTGCTACCGTACGTGACGCTGAAGAGGAGACGGGCCGGTGAGTGCTTGTGTCATGCTTGCGGAGTCATGGGCTGCCGCGTCATTGGCGTTCATCGAAAAAAGAGGTTACTGCAGGCGCCAAGCTCGTGGTACAAAAACAGCATTATGTGCAAATCTTCATCAGATGCGTTTTGGTTTGGGAAGTGCGGAGACTTCTGTCCAGTTTTTATTGCTGACCCTGTTGGGGGAAATTTATACCTCACTTCCTGTCCCTGTGACACCATGACAGGAAATGAGGGGCAGTTGTCACTGTGGCATGAAGATTCAGACAGTAGTATTAACTTGATAGCACCTCCAACCACTGCCAATGTTAGCTGTTGCATTCTGTGTTACTGCTGGAGAGCTTTCCCTTCACTTCCTGTCCCAACAGGAAGTGAGGACAATTATGATATAAATGGTTGGAAATTTCCAAAATTGTAGAATAAAGATGGTGGCGCTTTGGACTCCCAAGCTTGGCAGAGGTTTTGATCAATTAAAATGGCTACTGGAGTGTGGCAGCTCTTTACTGCGTGGTAATGTCCCTGGGAGTCTGTATTAAAATTCAACGCCGTTGTAACTTTATTATTCCAGACAAGAAGACACAAAGTCCCGTGTGTCTGCTTGTTCAGAGCAATAAAGTTACATCTACGCTGAATTTTAAGAGTGCTTTTTCTCCTTTTGGGTTCACTGGTGGAATGGGCACCGCTCGGCTACGGTCAGCCAGGAGAGTGGCCCAGTGTAACAGGCTCGTGAGCTGTGCCCATGTTTTGTCAATGGTGTCCTTGAGAGTCAGCCTGTATGGACTAAAAGCATGAGAATGCCAAGCCATAGGGATCGGCCCAGATATGTATTGCAGTTTGTCACAAAGCAGTCTATCAAGAGTTGACGCGTTTCGGGAGTCAGGAACGGGCCACCCTTCCTCTGTGTTTAGGTTTTAATCTACTAGTGGAATCTGAACGGGTGGTTACCCCCCGGGTTTTTTATTCTTTGTAAGTTGTGCTCCGATAAGGTGTCTGGTCCCCACTCTCCCTTTGGGATATACCCAGAGCAAAGGTCAATCCCAGGTACTTCCTGGTATAGTGGATCATGTGACTTACTCCTTTCTCCCCATGTGATAGTGGCTGATGATTGGCCAAGTGCTGTCACATGGGAGTTGGGGGGAGTGAACTCCTTTTTTACAGATGGGAAGGATGATAAGTGTTTTCATTTGTCTGTGACCCCATTGGGGAGATTTTTTTTTACTTCCTGTCCCATGACGGGTGTGGTCATCACAAGGACAGGAAGGCACAGACAGCAAGAAGAACCTTGTCTAACCCTTCCTCGCTCTGTTAAGAATGTTTTTGCCTGTGTCCCTGTTCGGTGGATATTCGCTCACTTCCTGTCACAACAGGAAGGGAGGGAAAATCTCTCCAATTCGACCACCTGACAGGAGCTCCAAGCCAGCCTTCCTCAACCTTTTTCCAGCAAACAGGAACCCAGCCAATGACGATATCCACGGCTCACAGTATGTTACCGTAATCAGTACATTGAGATAACAGAATAAGGAATGGTGGTGTAGTCAGTGGTGACACCCACGATTGTTTTTATATGGTCACAATATGAATTATAAATAAACTTTAGTGGTTTTCTTACATTAGTGGTCAGCAGAAGAAGGACCCTACGTAGGTTGGTGGTCAGTGAAAGAAGGGACCCCCTTAGGTTGGTGGTTAATAGATGAAGGCCTCACCGTATATTGCTGGTCAGTGGAAGGAGGCTTCGTGTTAGGTTGGAGGTCAGTGGAAGAAGGGCGCCCCTTGGATTAATGGTCAGTGAAAGTAGGTGCCCCCTTAAGTTGTTTGCCAGTGATAGAAGGTCTTGTCTCACCTTGGATTGGTGGTTAATGGAAGAAGCCCCCCCCCCCCCTTACTCTTAGAATGGTGCTCAGTGGAAGAAGTCCTCGCCTTAGATTGGTGGTCAGTGGAAAAAGTCCCCCCTCCCTCCTTAGATTGGTGGTAAGTGAAAGAAGGCCTCACCTTAGGTTGGTGGTCAGTGGAAAAAGCTCCCCCCTTAAATTGGTGGTCCGTAGGAGGGCCTCCTTAGGTTCATGGTCAGTGGAAGAAGGCCTTAGAGTAGTGGTTAGTCGAAGAAGCCCCCCCTTCCTGTAGATTAGTAGTCAGTGGATGAAGGCCTCGCCTCAGATTAGTGGTCAGTGGAAGAAGCTCCCCCTTAGATTGGTGGTTAGTGGAAGAAGCACCCCCCCCCCCTTTTCCCTTGGATCGGTGGTCAGTGGTAGAAGGTCCCACCTTTATATTGCTGGTCAAGAGAAGAAGGCCTCGCCTTAGATTGGTGATCAGTGGAAGAAAGCTACACTAGATTGGTGGCCAGTGGAAGGAGGGCCCACTTGGCATGATAGCCAGTGGAAGAAGGGTCCTCTTCTTTTGGTGTTCATTGGGGGATTGGCCCCCTTACACTAATGGTCAGTGATGGAAGGGCCCCTTTAAACACCCAGTGGAAAGAATACTCTTGCCCCTTAGTGCCAAAAATGCCTCACAGATGACCTAAAAATATAATTTGTGTTGTTAGTTACATATCTGAGATGCAAATATTCCTCCAGGAACCCTACCGTTCCATGGAGCCCTGGTTGAGAAAGTCTACTGTAAGTGCTCTTCATCCAACGTGATCAAATGTTTGGACTGGAGTAGGGCAGTAACACGCAGGCCACTGTTAGTAGTCGCTAGTGATGTATGAAGGGTTTGGTGCAATCCAACTTGTGCAGAATGTTCACTGGCATACCGCTCCACCTGGCACAATTAGTTGCAACAGAGGCATGTTGGGCTGGGAATGCCAAGACCGCAATTGATTGGGCTGGTGTGGCGTGTCATTGACAGTTTTGTGTGGGCTTGGTGGGCACCTATTCCCCGCACATCACTAGTAGTTACATAGAACCCAACAGCAGTTGGCGTCAGGTGCGTGATTTGGAGGTGGCTTGGCATCAGGTGCGTGATTATTTATAGTTCCACCACAGCTGGAGGGCCGGAGTTTGGCTACCCCTGATCTAGTGGATGCTGGAAAGTTACACCACCTATCTCCAGGGGGCTTTGGCGGTACAACCTCTTAACTCTTCGGCAGCCTATACGTGAGTGCCCCGGCTGTTCCGCGGCGGGGCCAGAGCCAGGAACCATAGTGGGAGATCTCTGCTGAGGTCCTCTGGAGATATAAGAAGCAGCAGGTGACTCCACCTATAAAACCTCACTCGTGGGTGGACCGGACAGGCTTGTTGTCAGACTAGTCACTGTGTTCTCCTGTGCCCGCAGTGTGCCCGGATCTTGTAGACAAATACCTCGAAGAGACTTCCATTCACTACATGACGCCGCGGACGCACAGCAGCGGAGAGTCCAGCACGGAGCACTTACGCTCACCTGGTAAGAACCACGCGCGTCGCTTCGTAGGTGGGGTTCTGGGTCTTTCCGATACGTGCGCGTAACCTTTTCCTGTCTGTGTTCTCTATCCGGCAGCCCCACCCCACCACCCCATGGTGTGTTCCCCTTCCTCCGGACCCCAAATCTGCACTAAGAGGCCTGGACGGGGCAGACCGCCCCTTAACAGCCAAAAGAAGAGGAGGAAATCCATCACGCCGGACCCAAAGGAGAAGCAAACGTGCGGTAGGTGGCCACTAAAGAAGACCTGTCACCAATGTGTGTGAATCAGACGACTTTTTTGAATCGCACTGGTCCAATTAAAACCCGGAACATTGTTTTATAACGGCAACCCACCAATTAATGGGTTAGGCTTAGGGCTACCTGATGTTGGCTATGTTATAATACAATGTCCTCAGAAACTGTGTTTGGACAGAGCCGGGAGGGTTAGATCTTCAAGTGACGGCTATATTGCTGTACGCTGGCAGGGGTGTGAAAATTTAAAAAAAAACTACTTGTCCAAGGACTAAAGCGGGGGCCTGATCTACTCGTCCCTCATGAAAATCTACTTGTCCTGATACAAAAAAGAAAAAAATGTAACCATAACCGTATTAAGCAATGCCAAGAAGAGCTTCTCGTTGGTCAGTGCCGTCAGATGACTGCGCTGACCAACGAGCGCTTGAATTTTGAGAGCGAAATTCAGATTACAATGGCACAGGTACAGATAGTACACCCATACTGGCGGATGGGAAGGACCGTTCCCTGAAAGGTAAGTATAGCG